CTTCAATATTGTATTGAGCCAAATCATTTTAAAATCAACCATTTTTAGAAAACATCGAAGAAATGTGCAAAAATGATCTGTTGTTCAAATCAAATTTTGGCAAAAAGTAAGAAAATTTGCTTAAAAATTAAGACAAATCCATATTTTTCGAGAGACTAAATTGACAATTTTATTGGCTTAATATTAGGATATGTGAAGATAATCATTCGAATGATATTTTAAACTATAGATCTGAAGTTCCTCTATCTAAATCACATATTAAACCCAAAATTTCATCGGAATGACATAGTGTTTTCATACATCCATTGTAATGTTTTGCAGAAATGACTGATTTTAAACTGATTTGGTCTAATACAATATCGGAGAAAAAGACGTCCCGATGTCTCCTCTTTCGATTGGTGAAAACCGCAGCTCTATAGCTCGTTCTATTCTTGAGCTATTGTAAAAATACCCACGACCTCTATGTTTTTAAACAGGCATTAGTTGACCAGTTCGTGAGAATTGAACTGGTATGGAACTGTTACAGTCCTACGTATCATACCTCGATATTTTTGTACTTTCTCAATAATACGGTTGTTGAGCTTGTATATTAAGTCGTTGAAAATTATAATAATATATTAGTGCTCTACCTGCTTTAATCGACTGATTATGAATATATACATATATTGTATACTGTTAACAGTTGAGTTTTTAAATGTATATTTTGACGAATATTAATGATTAGCAAAATGTACTATATCTTCTGTATAATAGTCGTAATTACTAAATCTTGTGTCAATTTCCATGTTTAATTATGTTTACCTTTTAAATAGAGATATTTGTCATGCATTCGTGAAATTTTTCATGTTATTATATCATCAACATATTCACATCAAATTCTAACTTATGGAATTGAAGTCGTTGTGCGTACACCTTGACTATACTGAGTGTTTCATAAGTTTTGAACTTCAACAAAATTAGTTTACATGCAGACAACTAATGATTTTGAACTGAATGTATCTACATGAGGTTTAATTGCTAGTGTTAGTGTTTCGAATTTGATAACATACAATGGCATCTCTTGTACTGGTAAAAATATGATGATCAATTTTTCAACATCGTTCAACAAGATTTTTTTTTTAAATTAATGATAAGGCAAATACTATATTTCACAGAAATACTTATTAAGTTGATCACACAAAAATTTTATATAACTATCATGTATCTGTTCTTCGCTACTTGTTTTACGTCTCGAAGTCGTTTAGAAATTTTATCAATTATTTTTTTTTATAATCATTGCAAATTATTTTTTTCATTATTTCTTCAATCAAATAAGTATTTTATTATCTAAACCTCGAAAATTATTGTTTTCCAACTTTTATCTTAACTATTTCCCATATATTTTAAATGATTTATATACAAAAAAGAACAGTTAAAAATAAGAAAAAGTAAAAACACGGTCTACAAAACGAAAATCTTTCGTTCTCCCTTTAGTGTTATCATATATTTGAGTGCACTTTAAATCGTTACTTCGGCATAAGATGTGACTACTCATGCGCCTAGTGATTGTTCGTTTCTATTATGATTTCTTATATGTCAAATCAATTCACGATTTGATTAAAAAACTTTAAAAATAATTTTACTGGTCAATGTTGAAAAATTGATCATCAAATTCTTATCATTTACATTACTTATTATTACGAGATTGTAGAGGAGAAAGAAATTGTAGAGTAGTAAAATAAAAGAATTATTGATAAAATTTATATTACGTTTCTGCATACAACATCTCTGTTTGTTTTTTTAACTTCTAATCGACCGGAATCTTTAAATCCTATCGAATCACATGATCGATTACTGTATAAACTAATAACATCAATTATTAATGCATTTCATTATACCTATCGATTGCTATTGTCATCACAATTCAAATATTAAATTGTTTACTTTCAAAGATTTCGCTTTCTTCATTTCATACAATAGCATGTTTGTTTTTTCAATATGTATATAATTCATCATTCTGATTTTCGCCATCTTATACTTTCAACTCGTTCTGGTTGAATCATTTTTCTTTTTAATGCAACGACCACAAATGATACATCGATTCTTCTTTTAGTAAAAGTTGACAAAATATTTATGAGTTTTTCTTTTGCTTTCATGATATTATTTAACATAAGGTTATAGTCGGAAATCTTTCATCACATTCTTTTAAAAGTAAATTTTAGAAAATAAACTTTTATCAAGCAATGAAATAAAAAAAAACGTTTTTATTGTGTTATGTTTAAAACCATAGATGGAGCCGGTGCCAGTCAGGATTTTAGACCGGCCGATCTACCAGTATTCCCCAGTACATCTAGAGCAGGTCGATTCTTACAATGAAATTTTTTTTTGTAATAGTGAACTCTCCCAAGTTACCAACTTAGATGACGTATCTGAAATATCTCAAAATTTGTGTGGTAATGTTCAAAATGTGGTTTTCTCTTCAAAAATAAAAGTAATCGTAGTACCAATGCATCAAATATGATTTCATCGCACTATCACGATGCATTTATTTTTTTCAATACGTTAGGATGACAAAACGTGCATTGTCTCTATGAACAATGACGATAATAATAATAATAGTTTGATATTGACATTGATGTTTTTTTTTGAACCCACAACCACTTATTAAATACTTGCATTCAACTCCTTAGCGATTTCAGGTTCATGATCTAAGTTGTAAACTTGAGAGAGTTCACTATTAAAAGAAATTTCATTGCAAGAATCGATCTATTATCTCTATACCAGTTCATACCTATAGATCAGTATCGGTCTTGAAAAAACTAGATCGGTTCCATCTATGTTTAAAACTATAGTAAAAATTATTAATAAGAAAATTCTACAAAATAATCTCATTTTTCGAGTCTAACCAAAATGCCATTACTTATACAAAGCCATTAACCAATATCAACAAAACAAATCTTTTGTAACCCTTGAAGAAAAAACTCTTATTTTTAATTTCTTTTTTTCGCCTGAAGTTTTTTTAAATAAATTAAACACTATTCAATAGATTTAAGATGACTATAAAAAACAAGTACTCTTCATATAACATATTATTGTCTGCAAGTGTTTTCTAAGTTTTTTTCCTTTTTTTTTTGTTATTATCGTATATAGTTAAAATTCTTAAACGTATTGTTCTTTTTTTTTTCTTTTTATCAACAGTATATAGAAGTAGAATTAATTTGTTACGAGAAGAAAAGGAAATGAGAAAAAAAAAAACCTTTTTTTTTCTCATTCTCATTCATTATTTTTTGCTTAACTTGAATGAGAAAACATATAGACATTACTTGTCTTCTATTTTATTATTTATTTCTATTCAAGCTTGAAACGAAGAACACATACGGACGCTATCAACGAGAAGAATCCACTATCGACTAACTATAGAATTTTTTTATTATTTTTCATCATCATTATTTCTTTCTCTTTTGTTTCTTGTTGTTCTTATTCGAGTTGTCTTTTAATGAACAAATAACATTTCTCAAGAAAAAAAAAATCATCATAAATGGTAAGTTTTATGTCAATTCAATGAAGAATAATCTAAGTTTTGTATCTATATAGTCTTTCACAATAATCGGAAGTTTACTAATAATCTTACTTCATAATACAGAAACAATACGATGTCCACCGAAATATAATCACATTGCACTAGGATGTTACAAAATAATGAATGGTTCTAACATGACATGGTCTGAGGCTCGACAGTCTTGTTTTAATGATTTGTCTTTATTGTCACATAATGATATTGTAATAAATTCAACCACTCATCTAATTGCACTTGAACATGTTACAGAAAAAACATCATTATATTATTGGATGAAAGGTAAAATAGTTAACTTGACAATTCAATTATTTCGTTTTTTTTTTCGATATTTTTAATATGATTGATTTTTCTTTTTCAAAAACTTTGTTAGCTTATGGTATTGAAACTCAATTTTGGATTGATGGTATCGTTTCAACATCATCATGGAATTGGTCAAATCAATCAATAACATGGTATTTTGAAGTAAATGAACGTGCAGTAACAGGCAATGGATCGAATTTTAAACTTGTCTATAATTCAACTCAAACAACTTATCAAATAGCTGATGATGCTGATAAAATATCATTGAATTTCATTTGCGAATATCAAAGTTTGTTTTTTTTCTTTTTTAAATTGAAAAAAAATTTCTTTTTTGTTTATTAATAGTACCATGTAATGATAGTGATCCATGTCAAAATAATGCAAGATGTTACATGAATATTGGAAGAGAAATCTGTATTTGTGCATCAGGATTTACTGGACACTATTGTGAAACTGAAATTAATGAATGTTTATCATCACCATGTTTACATGGTGGAGTTTGTATAGATGGTATAGATAACTATACATGTAATTGTTCCGATGTATTTTATACTGGATCAAATTGCGAAATACGTATGAATTTAAATATAATTTTCTCTAATGCAGAATCTTATGTTTTCTTTTTTCTTGTGATTTTTAGCACTCGATGATCCAACACAAAGTCAACGTTTAGCTGCATTTTGGTCTGTTCTTGGTGTTGTAAGTGGATTAGTAGCTCTTTTAACATTATCTGATTTACCTTGGCGAGATATTATAACTACAATTGGATGTACATGTCATGGTTTAAAATGTTGCTCTAAACAAAATGATGATGATGAAAATATCAATGAAAATATTCTTCATTCATCAGATTTATCTATAAATGATCATAATTTACGAGTAAACAATATGTCAACATCTGATGAAAGACTAACATCAAACGGTATTAATTATCATATAATGGATACAGTATGGAATCCTGAACATATACATAAACAAACATTATTAAATTCTCAAAATAATACATATCGTACACCAGATCAAAGTACAACACCTAGCAATGCACTTATACAACCATTTGCTGCTGCAACTATGGCTAAAAAAAAACAAAAAGAATTAGAAGATAAACATATTTATGCTGTTAATATTAATGAAACAACAAATTCAACATTGAATACAAAAGATCCTGTTAATACAATGATTAATTGGACACAACAATTACAAGAACAATTACGAAATACAAAAGCTCGTGAATTGAGTGCTAGTTCAACTAAACAATTACTTAGTTCATCAAATACAAGTGATGGTTAAATATACTTTTCATTTTCTTTTGTCTATTTATTTATTTATTCATTCATATACATATGGATCATTCATTTTTTTTTTCTTATACAAGAAAAAAAGAAAACATTCATGCTTATACATTCTTTTATTTTACATAAATTTGAAAAATAAAACTAACTTTTAAAGAAAAAAAAAAAAAGAAAACAAACATAATAATATAACAATCAATTTTAATGTATATTTACACAATGCAATTGAATATTTATTTTTTGAATAAATTCATATTTCCTGAAGAAGATCGACCTTCTTTAAATAATTTAACTGTTGGTAATGCAACACGTTCACCTTCAGACAAAGCTGTACAATATTTTATTGTATGAGCTGATTTACCAGTAGCACCACATTTTGGACAAACATATGCCATAAGAATAGGACATTCGATTTCATTATCAATATTACGTAAAACTATAATAGAAAGATTATTTGTTTTTCTTGTAAAAGAAATTTTCTTTATTTGAATTTACCATGTGAAGTATAAACACTAGCTGATTCACCATTTGTTTTACAAAATCTACATATTTGTCGTTTTTTTCGATCACATATTGAAGAAAATAGATTATCACAACTCTTATAATGGGAATGATGATGATAATATTGTTGTTGTTGTTGTTTAGTTTTTTGAGCGATCACTAAGTTACAAAAAAAAAAAAGTTTTGACAAACAAAAAAAATATTGAAGTATATATACAATACTTTGTTTAATAATGGCATGTTTTTGAGATAATTGTGGATAATTATTTTGTATTGATTGATTTTGTGTATTAATAAAAGGTAATGGTTCAAAATAATTATTTTTAAATTCTTGTTTTTCTTGTTGTTCATTTATTTGATAATAATAATAATCAAGATTATTCAATGACCAAACTGATGAAATTGGTGATCTAGTTGCAACAATATTAAATGGATTTGATAAATCAAGATTATTCAATGAACTTATTAAATAATCATTACTATTATATAATGAATTAAACTTTTGTTGTTGTTGTTGTTGTTGTTGTTGCTGTTGATTTCTATAATTAAGATTAGTATTATTTGAAAATAAACAAGGCATTGATGTTGTCCATGGTGAATCTAATTTATAAAAAGAAAAATTTTATTATTAATAAAAAGAAAAAAAACAAAACATTACTTACACATTTTATTTTGAACGAAATAATTGAAATAAATAATCAAACAAGAATAACTATTTATCCTAGGCCGATCAATTCGGCCGTCTGAAACGACATCT